GTGAGAAGACGCCAGCGTCCATAGCAAAGCATTGAGAATGCTTTCCTATGGACTGGCTGAATGCGCGCGCGGCTCTTGCCGCGCATGCGCATTCAGCCGGTGACGGAAGAAGAGGGAGGAGAGGAGAGCTCCCCGCCCGGTGCTGGAGAAAGAGGTAAGTTTAACCCCTTCCTCCCCCCAGAGCCCGGCGGGAGGGGGTCCCTGAGGGTGGGGGCACCCTCAAGGCACTATAGTGTCAGGAAAACGAGTATGTTTTCCTTGCACTATAGTGGTCCTTTAATCTTAAAGTTTTCATCTCCTGCTTTGTAAATTGAACTTTAATCACACACAGGAGGCTCCTGTAGAATCTAGCAAGCTATTAACAGAGCAGGGGATAATAAACTATAAATTTAACAGAATTTGCAATAAAGGAAATAAAATACAAACATTAGATGACTCTTTACAGGAAGTGTTTAGGAAGACTATGCAAGTCACATGCAGGGATGTGTGGCTAGGGCTGCAGAAACAGAGTGATTTAATTCCTAAATGGCAGAGAATTGAACAGTAATACTGCAGGGGCATGATCTATACACCAAAACGGCTTCATTAAGTTATTTTGTGACTATAGTGTTACTTTAATTTATCAAATCCGAAATGTTTGTCGTACCTACATATACGGCAGCCACATTTGATACCCTCTGCTAATCTAAGTTAGATTTAAAGTATCACTCCAAGCACCATCACCACTACAGCCTGCTTTAGTGATGATAGTGCCAAGGGTAGCCTGGTGTCCTCCAAGTAGTCAAACTGTTTGAAAACAGTTCCCTTCATTGAGCGAAGCCCGGCAATACTCTGCCAATAAAGCAGCTCTTAGATCAGTGGAGATAATGGAAGCTACAGAAGGGGTGGCAAGTGATGCACCCCAGAATTCAAGCCATTCGCGAGAGGTTTGACTACTTACCCTGGGAGCGTGGCATGACACCCTTGGCATCAAGACCTCATCAGTGAACTGCAGTGCACCACTTTTCAGAACACAACAGTTTAATAAAGCAATACCACCATAAGATAATTTTCCCATTTTGGCTATTTTGAACGTGAGTCACTTAGCTATTCTTATCTTGTTTAGAGAACAAACTTACTGGCATCAGGGGACATGCTCTGCCAAGTCTGGTATGTTAATTAAATTGATACCTTCGGTGCCATGAACTTGAGCAGCACTAGTTTAGTAATGTGGACTGTGTACACCTTCATACACATTTATCTGTGGACTCTCTAGCAAGAATGAGTGCACCCAAGGCTTCATGGGACACTAGTCACGTTAGCAAACACAGCTGGGGTACTTGTAATAATAATTGAGTAACTGTAGCACCAAATAAGGTGACAGTTTCACTTTAACCCTTTAAGGACCAAACTTCTGGAATAAAAGGGAATCATGACATGTCACACGTCATGTGTCCTTAAGGGGTTAAGCTTGATGAGCAAGCAGTTGGTGAGAGTTTCTTCTTCGCCACTGCAAGTTGTCACACGTTTTATCAAAGCAAAGCTAACAGGGTTATTCACTAGAAGTGAGAATCTTCACGTTAGTTATAATGCTTTAAGCGTCTGCTCTTAATCAAGAATGTCATTGTAGCAGGAGCTTTGTTCCTGGACTCCCGCTCCCTTTAATTTCTGCTAGAATAGAATTATGGGGATTGTGGTCACACAGCAGCTAAGGGCTCAGTGTTGGACAAAACTGCCTTAATGGGACTTATTTTCTCTGTAACGACAAGTTTGCTTTTCTGGGCACTTGGCGGAAACTCCGAACTTAAAAACAATTAGTGTGAAAGACACAGTAAAGGTAGTGTGTCACCTGAAACTCAAGTTGTTACAAGCACTAGGCTGTTGCCCCAGGGTAGTAGGTGATGGGAAACTACATGAGACAAGGAAGAAAAAACCCTCAAAATAAATTAAATACCTTTTCCGTGAAACCACGATTGTGGGACAATTTCTTAACCACATGATTAGAACCTTAAATTAGGTCGTTCAACATTGCCTATGGGGAAGTTTTTTAAAAGCAGATATAGGTGCATGTAGTAAAGATTTTGATACAAGCATCCATTGTTTTCTGTTTAACAGCGAATTATAGGAAACTGGCAAATTTTAGGCAGTAATAGTTTCTGGAACAATTTTCCATCTCAGCTTGGCCATTTTAGTCTCAGTTTAGCAATTTACTTCTCATATCATTACAATTCAAGGTTTAGTGAATGAAACCAACAGTGGACCATTTCACCACCATCCTTTGTCTGTAGATTTTCTATGAGAGGTACAAAGTATGCAAATTTAAATATAACAGACTGCCACTCAGAATGTTGTCTCCAAGTATGCCTGCTTTGCATACAGGTGTTGACGTTCACATCTCGTGACCTCAGTGTGTCATAAAAACAAAAAACATGTTTCTTTATGAACAGGAGGGCAGAGGTGACTGGTCTTAAACTGTAGTAAAAACCCAGAAACAAAAAGGGTCTATTCACTAAATAGTGACTTGATTAAAATGTAAAAATTCTACAACTTGGCTATTGTCACAGTGTGGCTAATTATGGCTGAAATGTTCAGTTGACTGTTTTTTTGCGGTTTAGTAAATAAAGTATTTATATGTGAGGGGGTTAAAAAAAAAAAAAAGCCCAAAAAGTAGACTTGTGCACAAATCCTTTCACCTGCGACGAACGATTAAAATTCCTGTAAATCTACCCAAACTAATCCAGATGTCCAGGATTTATGTGACAAATCAAATCATTTGGGTGTAGATTAACAGGAATTAATACAGTTGTCACAGATGAAAATGATTTATGCAAACTTAAAAAAAAACAAAAAACAAAAAAAAACAACCATCACTCAGGGGTGCAGTCTGCCCCATTTAAAAAAAAAAAATAAAAAAAAATTATAAAGCACTAAAACGTAAAGAAGTAAAATAAAAGCGTATTATTAAGTGAGTACTGAGAATATCCCCCAATCCCTTGCCTAGCAGGATGGTATGGGATATGGCATTCAACGCCTGATGTAGCGTAGTTCATTAACAGACTTATGATGCAGCGCCTTCTATTCCTGTACCTTTATGAAACCCATAAGGGAGGCTGTCAAGGGAGATGAGAACATGTATGAAATGGGTATAGACCTATATGACTTTATATCTATATAATTTTGGGACGCATAACTGCTGAAGTGATGAATCTATGCAAGGCAGTGGTCTTACAGCTGCAGCATATGTCGAGGAACTGTGCAAGGAGCCTAAATTGTTTGGGTTCTTAAAACTGTAGACATACAGGCGTAGCCTTAAAGAGCTGGTCCATCCAAATAAAATTCCTGTCAACCATCAAATGAATCTGTTCTGAATTGTTTTACCTGTGGATTCTACAGGCAAGATTGATTTGTTTCAGTATAAACAGGAATGACATTCAGACAAAAATGCTCAAATGAATCTTTGCACAAGTCTAGTTTTCATTTCAGTATTAAAGCACTACAGATGTCTGATATCATACAACTCGGTTGCCTTGCTGTAAAACCATAGCTTAATCAGAAACATCTTAGATATGTCTATGTGTAAGCCACATCACCACCTCACTGACCTATCTCAACAGGGTTCAGAATGAAATCCATGAAAGAAAAAGTTCTATTTTCAGCATGAAGAGAGCTCCAAGTATACCCTTACTTATGATAACAAAACACTGAAATCTTAGTTGAATGTAATCTGATAGTTGCAAACATCTTTTGCATTCAGACTGTTCTTAAAGGTAAAGGAACAATATTAGTCACCAAAACAACTTTAGCTTAATGAAGCAGTTTCAATCTATAGACAAGTGATGGCGAACCTGTGGCACGCCGAGCCCTTTCTGTGGGCATGCGGCCATAGGTTCGCCATCAATGCAGAGTGGGCACCTGCCTGCCCAAAACGGCAGCCGCCTACTCTGCTACCGTGTCGGGAGGCAGGGGGAGGGATCTGTGAAGCAGCTCCCCTGTCGTCCCGCGAGCAAGCTGTGTGGAGCATTGCCGCTTGTTATAATGGCCTTCCGACACGGAAGCATTGCTTGCCACCATCGGACCACCAGGGATGGCTGTGTCCCCCCCTCCTTCATTAAAGGTAAGAAAGGAGGGGGGGAAATAGCGATTTAGCATACTTTTTTTTTTTTTTTTAAACACCTTTACCCCAGCCCCCCACACACAGGATTTGCAATAAGGAAATGTAAACATTAGATTACTCTTTACAGGAAGTGTATGGAGGTGTGACTAGGGCTGCATAAACGGTGATCTAGCTCCTACATGGCAGAAAATTGAGCAGTGAGACTGCGAGGGCATGATCTATACACCAAAACTGTTTAAAGGACCACTCTAGGCACCCAGACCACTTCAGCTTAATGAAGTGGTCTGGGTGCCAGGTCCTTCTAGGGTTAACCCATTTTTTCATAAACATAGCAGTTTCAGAGAAACTGCTATATTTATGAATGGGTTAAGCCTTCCCCTATTTCCTCTAGTGGCTGTCTCATTGACAGCTACTAGAGGCGCTTGCGTGCTTCTCACTGTGATTTTCACAGTGAGAGCACGCAAGCGTCCATAGGAAAGCATTGTAAATGCTTTCCTATGCGACGGGCTGAATGCGCGCGCAGCTCTTGCCGCGCGTGCGCATTCAGCCGGCGGGGCGTAACGGAGGCGGAGAGCTCTCCGCCCAGCGCTGGAAAAAGGTAAGTTATTACCCCTTTCCCCCTTCCAGAGCCGGGCGGGAGGGGGTCCCTGAGGGTGGGGGCACCCTCAGGGCACTATAGTGCCAGGAAAACGAGTATGTTTTCCTGGCACTATAGTGGTCCTTTAATTAAGCCAAAGTCGTTTTGGTGACTATAGTGTTTCTTTAAATACAATATCATATTTATGGAATATACTCTTTATATCAAACTGCAGTCTAAAACATTAGCTCAACTATTTATCATATTGCAACCAAATGACAAAAAAACAGGTATACATTTAGTTTTTGTTTAGTTTTTTCAGTTGTGACCATGGCATACAGCCTTATTCTTAAGTTAAATGATACCAATGTTATAGACACCGGAAGGACGCGAGTATGAGATGATACTGCAACAAATCCAATACAAACTTTGAGAGAGAATATTTTTCGATAAATCTACGAATTGCTTGAAGATTATCACCTGGTGTAGACTTGCATATTCTGATGCTACAAACTGTATGAACTAAATGTCATTTGTAATGTGGTGGTTCAGTTAGAAACTGGGCTGTAGAGAAGATCGTGCAGGCTGTACTATCGTTTATTGATCTTCCTACATTTGTGAAATAGATGAGAAGTGGACTGCTTGATGATAAACACTGTCACATTTTGTCAAAAAGCATCTTGCCCATAAGATAAAACAGACTACTTTATCTTATCATATCGTGTGAAGCATTTCAACTGTCTACTTTTTTTTTTTAATACCGATTGTTTACGACAAACTCAAAAGTGAAAAATTCACTTTAAAGGGATATAATAGGCACCAAAACCACTTCATCTCATTAAAGTGGTCTGGGTGCACTTTCCCTGTCCCCTTAATGGGAACCTATGGTGTCAGGAAAACAAACTCGTTTTCCTGGCACTACAGCTTCCCGTCAAGCCATCCCTCCCACATGGTGCAGAAGGGATGTCACTTACCTGGGTCCAGCGCTGTCCCTCGGAGCTGGCCCAGCTCCAGCCACGCTGACGTCAGCCAGCAGGGGAGACCTGACACGCTCGCATTAGGATTTCCCCATAGGAAAGCATTATTCAATGCTCTCCTATGGGGATTCTGGTGACGTTGGAAGTGCTCATGCATAGCGTGAGAACGTCCAGCGTCATTCAGGCAACCAAAAGTCACCGATCCACCCGGCAGTCCTTCTAGTGGCTGTCTGGTAGACAGCCACTAGAGGAGTTGTTAACCCTAGCAGGTAATTATTGCAGTTTATAAAAACTGCAATAATTACATGCTCAGGATTAAGCGTGATGGGAGTTTGCACCTAATGAACTGAAGTGGTCTGGGTGCCTACAGTGTCCCTTTAACTTTGCAATCTAAAAAACACCGCATTTTCAGAAGAAGTGCAATGTTTATGTTAAGACGGCCTCTAGTGCAGGGGTTTCCAAAAGGTAGATCCCCAGATGTTTTAAAACTACAAGTTCCATGATGCCATGCCATTCTAAAGGCATTCACCTGGGGATCTAACTTTGGGGCACCCCTGCTCTAGTGTTTGTCTACCTGACAACCACTACAGGCACTTCCTGCTGTTTCATGGAGGAACACTTTAATGTTAGGAATACAAAACTGTATTCCTAACACTATAGTGTTCCTTTAATATATAATTTGGCGGAGGAGTGAAGGGAAGCTGATGAGCATTTTCACACAGTGAACACACAAGTTTAATTCAGTCACTTATTATTAAACCCAAAATTATGCAACACTAAATCGTCTCATAAGCTTGCGTAATCAATACCTGGAGTTACGTTGGTCCAACCAAAAATCAAGATCATGATAGAGGTCCACAGTCTAACACTCTGTACATAAGGGGGCACACAAGGTTGTTATTACTATACTTCATATCTGCTAGGGTTTACCAGATAGCCCACATATAACTATACCAAGTGCTGGTGTTGGTCAGCACTAAAGGGGAAAAAAAACCAAAAAACGCAGAGTGTGGAAATGTTTCTAACGCCATTTTGTCTTATATTATAGACTCCTGAGTGTATATACACATCACAAGGTGATTTCATACATTTTCTATGGGCTCCTTTAGTTAAAAGAAAGATCTGGTCATTCTTCATTCATGGGTTTTGTTTTGAATCTCCATAATTATTACTTTTCCTTTGTTGCTGTGTTCGGAAAAGCTACAAAAAGATTGTCATCCGTTTTGAATATTGATGCTCATTCGCAATGAACCCTAACAGGGACAATGCAGTAAGTTGTTGTAACACATCTAGTGCGAGCTGAGTCCACAAAGCAAGACAGGCTAACACAAACACCTTTTGTATACTTCAAAAAGAGAAAAGGGCAAAAAAAAAAAAAATACCTTTATTGGAACACATCTGAACATCAGATATACTCTGGTTTCAGCTTGGTGGAAATTGTGCACCCTTCATGGGATAGCAAGACCCAAATATTAACTGGGCATCGGCAGGAAAGGGGCATAATTTAGATAGGAGGTTGGCGGGGGCAGAAATATATATTTATATATAGCTATATACAGACATATATCCCTGTAAGCAGCAATCCCAATTTATTTTTTAAAAGTAGGGGTTCCATGAAGCAGATCCTTGGCCCTTGCACTCCTTCCATACCCAGATATGAGAAACAAATTGGAGTAGGCTGTGTTTTGAAACCGTGAGACAAAAATTAAGAATTTGGGAACACTGGTATCGTATTTGCCTGGGAACACAGGCCAGTTCATAGGAACCCCACCACCCCCATTTCTCCGCTTTAGTTAAGTACACAAAAAAATCCCTATAAAACAAGCAAGTGTTAATTACTACAACCCATCCCACAATGTGGGTTTGCTCACTCAGTAGAAATATATAGCCCCAGAAACAGGTAAGGGCCCCAGTACTTAATGTTGCAGACTTGCAGCCACTGATAAAATGGTGCGGAGGATTTTTTTTTTTTTTTTTTTTTACAGTGAAAACAAAATGTATTAGGAGGGATGATAAAAAATAAAAGGATTCCCCGCAGTGCCCCTCTGCCCCGATCCACCATCCCGCATGAGAAGAGGTGTCTGTTGCTCCTGCTGCTCAGAATTTTCAATGGCTGATGAGTCCAGAGCCTGTGAAAAGAGAACATTTGTTACACATTGGTAATACATCTCCTAAAGCAGGCCTAGGCAACCTTAGGCACTCCAGATGGTTTGGACTACACCTCCCTTGATGCTTTGCCAGCATTATGTGTGTAAGAGCATTATGGGGGATGTAGTCCACAACATCTGGAGTGCCGACGGTTGCCTATCCCCCGTCTAAAGAATAAGATATTGCAAGCAAAACAGTTGTGTGAACGCAGAAACAAATTTAGGCGATAAATAAAAGGGCTCTAACCATGAACAAGTTAATCAGTGTTTTTTCACACCAGTTTTAATATGAGAAAATAAAATACTCCGATACATTTATTATAGGTCTATGCTATTACAATGATCTACTTTCATTCCAAACACACCAGCAATGTAGTTGCGGTCAGTATTTTGCACCTTCAGGATATTTCATTACTGCTCACAGGGATAAATATTGTATAATGAAAAACGTCAACTACACTGATGTTAACTGTCCGGCTGGAGAGCGAGGTTTTGTTGCAAAACAACATTATTTTTGACGTTTACAAGGCCTCACCAAGATTGTGAGGTAGGATGTGTGGCAAGACTAGTTCCTGTATGTGTGGTGGGGAATACAGAAGTGTTAGAGACGTTAAAGAACAGATCAGCAAAGTGCTTGACCAAGAAAATATTGCACAGGCCGTGCTGCAATTACACCATATGAACTAATCTATAGAGCATTCAACTCAGAGTGGTTTATTTATTAAAGTCTGATCGTCATACCTTGGGACATCCCACTGGTGGAGTCCTTGAGGCTGTCAGAGCTGCTGAATCTAATCGCATTTTATCTTTTATGCCAACGAATGCAATAGTAAATGAAAGGAGCACTTTTTTCGTCAGTGTTTTTATCAAGGCATTTAGAAAACAGACACTGTAAATATGGTAGAGACATATCCAGGCATGGGCAAGGCTATTAATATTATGGTACAATGTATAAAATAATCTCAAAACATATCAGAAGATAAAAATAATGAGTGCACTGAGTGAGCAATAATCTAGTAATCTAGGGCATACCCTCTCATGGCCATTGTAGGTAACTAAAAACCTCCATTTGTTTAAAAATACATAGGGTTGTGGAAAGAGCGCAGGTAACTTTTTTCTTTGGTTTTTACTATATGTATTTTGGCTAATGTGTACTATAGTCATTGCTGCCGCCCAGGAGTAATGGGAGTTGGAGCGCAGGACTAGTTTCTTTGTATCACACAGCTAGGTTGCAATGCTGCTGCCCATCCCATGTGTTCCCTATTAAGGGTTAATAAGCATGTAGGGATGTATATAAAAAAATACCCCTTTCTGTCTCAGAGAAATTTTGACAGAAGCTCAAGGAAGCAAGGCAAATGGTTAGAGTTAGGACCCACCTAAGAGGTCTGCCTTGACATGGCAGTTGTGCATACCCTCTCATGGCCATTGGAGGTAACTAAAAACCTCAATTTGTTTAAATATACATAGGGATGTGGAAAGAGCGCAGGTAACTTTTTTTCATTGTTTTTTTACAATAATCTAGTAAATAATAATTATTTGAAAATGTTGTTAATACTTTTAATTAGATGTTGAACTTCCAGAGCAAATAGTTAATATATTCTAAAACTTAGAACTATCAGAAGTCTGAGAAATGATCAGAATAAGTATATAAAATAATATAACATAAGAAACAGTGCCCCGCTAATCTCATGGTGGAGGAGAGATTTTCTGTCTTTCTCCATTGATCTCAATGTCGGCTTACTTTTCTCCAGAAAACTGCAAACAATATGTCCAGCCGACCAAGGGCAGTAAATAGCAAATCTCTATTTGCATAGGAACATGTGGCATCTGTCATCTTAGTGAGGCTTGTACTCAATTCGCTGTATCGTTCAGGCAATATTATTGGTTACAGGCAGGGAGAGTCAACGCTCAGTTCTCTGGCATCTAAGAGTGAATGCACCTTTGTTTCTGTTTATGCTGCAAAGTCACCCCCCTCCCCCCCCACACTTGCTTGTTTCCATTTAGGAGTTAAATCACATTGGTTATGCAGCCTTAGTCACACCTCCCTGCATGTGAGCCTCCCTAAACACTTCCTGTAAAGCAAGATCACATGTTTAAGCTTCCTTTATTGCACAGTCGATTTAATTTAAAATTTCTTAACTCCTGTTTTGTTGATAGCCTGCTGGAGTACCCTGGGTGTGATTAAAGAGACACTGTAGGCACCCAGACCACTTCAGCTCATTGAAGTGGTCTGGGTGCAATGTCCCATGTCCCTTAACCCTACAGTGGTAATTATTGCAGTTTCTGTGAAACCGCTATAATTATCTTGCAGGGTTAACTCTTCCTCTAGTGGCTGTCTACCACAAAGTCACTAGAGGGACTTCTGAGTGTTTAGACAACTTTTGGCTAAGCATGAGGACTTCCAGCGTCACCAGAACCCCGATAGGAAAGCATTAACGCTTTCCTATGGGGAAATCCTAATGCGAGCGCATGCCCAATAAGTCTCCCCCACCAACGTCAGAAGCATAGGCGGAGCCTGACCCAGCAATGAGGGACAACGGCGCTGAGTTCAGGTAAGCGCCGTGGGAGGTGGGGCGTAAGGAAGTGGGCAATATAGAATCCCTTTAAACAGAGCAGGAGATAAACTTTTAAAGTAAACACTCCTTACAGATTGAAAATGAAACAATTTTTTTCATTTTCGTACATGCAGAAACAAAAGGGATTTAACTCCTAAATGACAGAGAATTGAGCTGTGAGACTGAAAGGCATGATCTACAATCTAAAACTGCTTTTAACAATCCACCCTCACTTCAAGTCTAAGGCTGAATTCTGATGTCCTAAGAACATTATTAAACTAAGTCAAACAACTTTCTGCATCCTTTCTTCACATCCAGAATAGACGTATCTTCCTCCTTCACTTACCTATGTGAGTTTCTTGGCCTTGTTGTAGAGAGAATCCACCACTTTGCTCATGTTCTGGATGGTCTCTAAAGCAGCCTCATATGTTTTATCTACTGGTGGCTCGTCAAAAATAATTAGGACACCTTCTCCTTGGTCAAGAATGCCTGCAATGAGAGAATTAAAAACATGGAATTTGGTTTGTGTACAAATAGATATAGAGGAGAGACATAAATGGATGCTGGACTTATGGTTGAAAACGATTATCTACCCAGGCAAACTAGCTGAATCTTAATACATTACATTGAATATGTGTAAGCATGTGAACTACCTATTTCACGGTAAAACAAGCTGGGAACAAATAATAGAGCCTGATCAGAACTAGGAACAATTGTTCCTAAATGTTTTTGTTTTTTTATTCCGGTTTTAACAAAGTATTACATATCTATAAATGTCAAAGAATGTACCCATTCCCTGCTGCTTGAATATCACATGATAGCCATAGCTATGCCTATTAGGTTCCTAAACGGCACAAAAAGTAGCCAGATCTTGTATTATCTGCAATACAATACATTAAAGAGGCACAATGTATGAAGTGAACCTGGATATGCTAATGCACTATTAAAATAATGCATTACAAAATCATAAGGGGGAAAACAAACAAAATCATTCCCCTTTAAAAATTGTTAAACTTCAGTACTCCCTCACCCAGACCAGAGAAGGACTCTGCCAACCAAAAATCTATTGTTGGTCTATGGAGCTTTAACCACACCTGTTAAGCAGGTGTCTACAGGATGTATAGTTTAGTGGCTCACTACAAGTCTACTTATCACAGAGAATGCATGTAAAAGCTCAATAAGTTAATTGCAGTAATGCTGGGGCTGACACTAAATTATTCAGAGTTTTGTGACCCAGAGATATCTAAAGTCACTGGCCATTGCTCGTTGGTTTCCTTCAGGGTCAGACCGTGCGTAAGAGTGAGGTCAGGCGACGTTGTGACTGATCTTGATTGTTAAATGAGAACATAACTTTCCTTTTAAATTTACTGATCTAGAGGACAGTGTTATAGCAATATGGTTATGAACCACTATGGGCAAGAAGATAACTATGCACTGATGCACAGTTGGAGAAGCTATGGGCACAATTTAAAAGAAGAGATGTTGGGTTTCCTCTGTTTACACCACTTTCAGAATGTTTACCCATTACTTAGTGTACATAATCAATACCGAAGTTAAAAAGCCAGTGGCATTGGCTCATACTGGGATGTAAATATGAAAATCAAAACACATTCACCTGCTTTTTTTCAATCTGCAGAGTGAGGCAATAGTCTCATTCAAAACTAAAGCGGATACCCTGAATAATGCAGGTACAAACTGTACTGTTATGCATCACCTGAATATCTCAACTTGGACTTTGAGAAGTCCTTCTTGAGTATAGTATCTGGAGCTAGACCCAAGAAGGACTTGGGTATATCAACAACTATCCCTGAGTTCCCAGCTTGACATGCAAATGAGCATATTGTGTTTCAGACTTCACGGTGCATTTCTGCAGATACCTTTAGCAATAGACACCAGTTTAAACATAGCTTCAAAAAAATAAAATAAAATACAGCATGAACCAAAAGGAACCAGCCAAGGACTGTGTGTGGGTCTAATCAGCTTGGCATTGGTTCTGGTCTGGAAGTTGCAGACTCTCTCTGATACAAAAGATTGTGGTCGAGACCAAACATGCTAAAATTTCCAGGTGGTCCCCCTTCTTTGTCTCACTTACCATTCTGCTGTTTTGGATGGACAGCTGTACAAGACTATAATGGTATATGGCGCCATCTGGAGTTATATGTGCATGTAGAAAGGTGTGTAAATTGCCTCAGCTCGGTTTTATAAAAGTTGTTCAGCTGTCAGCATTTTATTATGAAAACCTAAAAGCTGAAGCTGCTAAAGACTTAGACAAAGACCGTTTTTGAACGGCCTGAAAGTTTGTACAACAGCTTTGCACAAGAGCTACAAAAAATATGAAATTACTGGAAACTGCTATTACGATATATATATAAATAAATCTATTATTTTTTGTTTAACGTCTTTATGTCGTACAGTTTTCAAAATAGTCTGATAGCTGAACTAGATATTTACGTAACCTCTGCCGTGTAGGGATTCTGAGGTTATCTGTCAATCTGCAATAAGAATCAAGGAATTATCTGAATTGGCTGAGAAAGCTCAGCAAATTCCCTAGTCACTGCACAAACAGTGTTGAGGTAGTAGAATCCCAGAGATTTTCTGCAAATGTAAGGGAGTTCAGGAGGTATATTGTTATTTATTTTCCCATTTTTTCCCCCTAGAACCATTTTTATGCACATTCACAACGGGGCAATCTCCAAATCCTGGACTGGTATGGGGGACTTGAGGACTGGAACCATTGCATTAACCCATGGGTGCAGCTTCAGTATGATCTGCATGTCTACATTTCAAAGCAACAACTAAGATGCACGCATGTTGTCAATAAGTCTATAGTACAGTTGCTTAGTGTCACCAGCTTACCACTTTTAAAGGAAGAATTACCCAGTTACATGTTACAGATATAATGCACTATGCTTAGCCACTATTTTGTCTTTTTTCTTTGTATGATGCACCATGCCTTCACATAAACTTATGTCCAGCTCTATTAATTCTCTACAGTCCATGCACCTTCTAATATAAGAGCACAGACTGCAGAGTTGACCAAAAAGTCCTAGTCAGAAGCACAGCAACTTTTTGCCCAGCTCGACCCTGCTTTATCACAGCATGTGGTGAATGGGAAGCACTAATCCTTTAGTCTAAGCCCTTTATGTAACAAGCATTAACGCAACCTATTGGGAGCATCTCCTCTCTCCCTGATCCCTTATCTTTAGCATGCAGAACTGTGCTTGGGCCTAGTCTAATCCCCTGCACTGATTTGCTAATAAACTCTGCTGTAATGTGACTATCTCCTTCAAACAGACTATATTACGGCCAACTCCAGAATTGCACTGGGGAAAAAGGTGTTCTTTTTCTTTTTCATTATTTTCGACAGACAAAAAGCAAAAAGATAAAAAAACAAAAAACAAAATTTTAAGTGTGTCTGTATGTCTGTCTGAATATATACTATTATTTTTTAACGTCTTTATGTTGTACAGTTTTTCACGATAGTCTGATAGCTATACTACATATTTACAAAACCTCTCTACATACATACACACACACATTTAAAAAAAAAAAAAATCTTTTGTATATATGATGTTTTGACAGTTCAGTGTGATGCAAAAAAAAAAAAAAAAACACGAAAAAAGGTATGTATACAAAAAGAATCAAGAAAGAGTTGGTTAAATTGCACAAAAAAAAATAGATATACTTCCTTATAGACTGTATCTACATTTCCTGAAACAGACACCATAGTAGATACAAGCCTGGAGAAGCCACCGTTGTTCTTTCTTTACTGGGAAATTTTGCAGACGATGTGCTTGATATTACATTTTAACTAGGTGGGGTATAAAACCGGACTGGTATCTTTCAGAAATGTGGTGTATCTAATTGCGATCTACTCTGGGTATAATGATAGAGCCTTGTGTAAACATTCCAATGCTAAAGTAAGGCAGTGTGATGATAATGTGCACTCCCCAGGAAATGTGATTAGTGAAATGGCTCACATAGTGGATTACATAGAACCTTGGTCCTGACAAAAACTCTTTTTACACTTTATGCAAAGCATCTCTACAGATGATATGAATCTTTTAACATTTTCCTATACATGATCTGAGAAGGGGCCAATGGCCGTGGCTGATCTGCAATTAAACACAAACATCAGTGGATGGATACAAGGGGGTTAACAGCTAACTATGCCTAGTTTGTCTTTTCCACAATTATGCAAAATATTCCACTATTAAACCTCATATAAAACAGATACATTCTACGAGTGGAAAAGATACACACACACACACACACACACGTGTATAACAGACAATAACAGCATTGCAAGCACAATTCTTTTGGAACGTAATCAAGCATCCTCACAAGCAAATAAACTTCTTCAATAAACAAATACATTTATATTGTTCAATCCTCAAAAAATAGAGAAGTTGAACATTTTAAACCTTTTTTTTTTTTTTCTTCTCCTTTCTCTTTCCCTCGTTAGTTAGTTCACAGCTCTGCTGACACAATATACTTTTAAAATGTATACTTATATGTTTAGCATGATTGGAATTGTTATACATTTATTAAAATATAAATATATAAAAAACTATTAACCAAAATAATTTAACACTCAAGTAGGGATGAGCTACCCATTGATGTGCTGCCATGAGTATGGCTAGGAAATAAATTGTTATTATAATTCATAATTGTTGGGTAATTATACTTTTTGTTTTCTAAATATTATAGTTATTCATTTTACATGTTCTTGATAAATGTCTGGGTGGGGCCAAAACTGATTTTCAACAACTCAAAATACCCAAAAACCAGCGAATTCCACTCAATGGTGTTACACTAACAATGTATTACTACTGCTTACCGTGAAATTTCTTGTCTAAGATCATCTGAGAGAGTTTGCGTTCTACTTCAGGCTAGAAAAAGAAAGACAAAACAGAAAAAGTGATTTTGGTGCATACACTGTCTCTTTAAATTAAAATAATATGATCTGGCCTAAAGGGACTGAGCTTATCTCAAAATCATCCGTCAAGGAGGAGTTTATGGGAAAAGTACTTTATATTCAAAGAGCAGTGTGGTGCTCTACCACCACAGATTATTGGAACTGCTCCATAAACTGCTAGTAGACATATTCCTGCTGCTTTCACTTTACAGTGCAGTACCAGGCTGTATTTTACTCACAAGGGAGGAGAGAGCCTTGTGAAATGTGCACAATGCATGCACAACAGAGATTAAATTGACACAGGCAAACCGGAACTAACAGGATAATTCACTAAAGTGAGAAATCAAAGTAAATCTGAAATTTAAAGGGACACTATAGGCACCCAGACCACTTCAGCTCATTGAAGTGGTCTGGATACAGTATCTCTATTGCACTTACATTGCAGTTCGTTTACAGAGGAGCACTAAGTTTGCCTCCAGTGGCTGTCTCCCAAACAGGCACTTCCTGGATGTTCACAGACTTTTGGTCCGGTAACGGACGCTGTTGGACATACTCACGCTCTGCACAAGGACATCTGGTGTCTGCTATTTTCCCACAGGAACGCATGGGGAGGGGAGGGAGTGTGAGGAATGTGGGAGGCAGAGGGAGCTATAATGCCAGGAATACAGCTGGCCAATTTAGTCAACATGGAAGCATATGTGACAAAGAATTTTTCCAGTTTGGCTATTTTAAAGGAGCACTCCACACACCAAAAGCACTTCAGCTTACTAAAGCGCTTTATGAATGAGGAGTATCCTAGTTTAATCTCTGTGTATAAAAGTGCAGATTTCTATGAGAAATTAGCAATTTTGAAATTTAACTTTTTAATGCAAACAGCCAGTGACGTTTGCAGCCTCCTTGTGTTAAATCCCCTGGGTTCCAAAATGAGAAGCCTCCGATTGTATATTTCCCCTGTGAAGAGACTGAAATGGGAGGGCTTGCTAAGGCTATAGTTCATAAGATCTGCAGCCTTTGCAAGCTTTTTAAAAAGATATAACCTCAATGAATACATGCATTAATTCATTGGAGGTATAACTACTAAACAGTGATCCCTACCCAGCCACCATGGGAGCAGTGGAGTCTTCCTTTAAACTCAAATGTGAAATTCCCTTTGAATTCTCATTTTAGGTGAACAACCTGCTGCTCTAAGCTACTATCAAACATGAAAGCAGGCTCAGGATATTCTAGGCACCATGCAATCTGCAATAATCCAAAGTGCTTATGGTGACCCTTAAAAGATACAGACATTACAAAAAATATAGTATGATGGTAGACCCGACTGCGAGGCTGATGCTTTAAGACACTGCCAATGTTTACATCCCCATGACACAAACAGAAGAAATATTCCTCACCTTTGACAGTTTGATAAGTCCTGATATGTGATCAATCTGCAAACAAAAAACAAAAAGAAAAAAACAAACCGAGATCATTAATCAGAAATTCTGAGGATTGTGGTGGTAGTTTTTTTTTTTTTTTTTTTAAATGATGCCTATTTTGATTCAGAAAAACAGCAAAGTAGAGTCTATATTATTTTGTGTTTGAGTGCTTATCATATTCAGCTTGATGGCTTTTTTTTTTTTTTTACAGCTTAAACTATTTTTCAAGGAGTGTATTGAGATGCCTTGGAGTCTGACAGGGAAGGCTGAGGGGTGAAAACAGTGCATATCAGTTAAATGTATCCATCATGTAGTGCTGTCATTGTGTTCTGTGCTATATACAATTTTTATTTTTGTTTTCAAGACCTTTTCAGTATTGAACATAATGGTACATGCAGGTCCCTAAGCTTGATCATTATAGCTGGTGACGAAGGACCCACAACCACGTGACAGATTAATACAGGGCTCGCAGGTCTCTGTGAGGTGGTGTATTACCACTGGTAATCAGTTTCGAGTTTTGTCATTGGAATTTAATTCACATAACAATTTAGAATTTAGTTAGTAACCCTGTAAATGTCTACAGTAAGAATTGAAGGGAGGATGATTTAAAGTAGTGATCTCTTTTTAGTGATTTCAAGTTTTGTTACTTAAGAATGTGCTGTATAAGTGTAAATATTAATTATTGACCATTAGTACAAATATACAAGTCAATGACAGAGACACAAATTATTGTTTGTAATGATTGAGTCATGTAAATGTATGTGAAGGACTGCCTCTCATTCAGAATTGTTCTGGTACTCTCCCAGATGATCATTGGTTTTCTTAACAGACAATTCGTAACGTTCTGGTTCCAAACAAGGAGTTGGTGACATCACTTATCTCCAAATCAAAAACACACTGTACAAAAAAATGAATTGTTCTTGACAATCCCCCATTTCTACCAAACTACTAAAGTGATGAGAGTGCAACGCTTCCTCTCTTTGATACTGATCATTTCTAAGTTTCTCTCAAACAAGGGTATCCAAACCTTGTCCATAATTCTTGTTGTAATATTCCCGATAATTCTGCTTGGACCATTATAATGGGTGACTTCCATTACATAGAAGTAAATTGCACCCTGAATTCTAAAGTGCAGGAATTAGAAAGAGGTTGGTTACTGGTGTGTAAAGATGACAGGACCTTGAAAGTCATTCCTGCATGCATTTGGCATTGAAGATTTCCTTCTTCCTTGCGACAGACCTTTCCTTAAATTCTTATTGAGTGGAGAGCCAATAATTGTATGACACACACCCTATCTATATATTTGGATGCGTAATGAGGAAGTGGAAATCCTCATTGTTACGTCAGCATCTGTAGGGGAGGGCTTAGAGTACCAAGGAATCTCATATGTTTTCTCTAACAGTTTAAAAACCATTCAAGAAGAAAAAAAAAGGGATAGTGCCAATAGCACCATAAAAACTACAATATGCTTTAGTGTTTATAGTGTTACATTCACATAGTTTTAATGAAAAATTATTTTTGGTGACAGGGTTTATTTTAAGGAACTAACAAAATGAAACCATTTCATATATTTAAATAACATGGAAAGTGGTTATCACAGTTGGATGAGAAAGCAAGATACACCTGCCTTACCTGTACTCTGGAGAAAGGTTCAATCACCCGGATGAGGTTCTGTTCCAGTAAGTTATCATACAATTTGGCCAGATGTGTAGCGATTATAGGATCCTCCCGTAACTCTGCTTTATAATCTGTCAATGCCTATGAGATGGTAAAGAGGATATGTATCAGGGTACTAGCTAATGTATATCAACAAAGTACAACAGGAAATAATTTTTGGTCAAAAGAGGGTAGCAACAACAAGCAGAAACAGGACATCTTCATGGAGATGAACAGAACATGAAAAAAAAGAAAAAAAAAAAAAAATCTCTGTAATATTTATATGCTACAAGAGGGAATTTGATTAAAGAGGGCTATGCCAAAGGAACTGTATTGAGTAATTTACTACACAGCTCTAAATGCTACATAGTACAGGGCAGCCAGTTTCATGTGCTGTGTATTAACATATAAGGAGATTTGTGTCTAGGAAAATACGGTGGATCAGGAGAAGTGAAAGTTAACGCAGATGAAGAAATCAAAAAAGCTTGCATTAACAGATATCATAATCCAGATCCACAGCAGTTCCAGGATAGAGCTAAATATAGCAGTGTGGATTTCTGTATTTATTTTTTAATCATTTGGACGCATAACACACATTTGTTACAGGAACATGAAGAGCACCATAACAACTTGATCACAATTATGTTGTTATAGTGCCTGGAGATCCCTGGCGCTGGCTTACCCTTTCTGGATGAAACTGTTCACGAACAGTTTAACTTCAAAGTCGTGAATCCAGTGCTGTTTAGCTCTGCCCCTGTCCTTCCACTTCTCAGAGATTCTTGAAACAGAAAGCCTTGGACAGGGGTAGCACTGATTGGCTGCTAACATCACACTTTAGAATGTTTGAACTTGCAATATCTTAAGACACTGTATTTATTAGATACTTGTGCAAGACATGTTCTTAATTCAGACAATGGAAACATGAAGATGCATTTTTTTGCAAAAAAAACGTAAGGATTAATTCTTGATTAAGAGTGGCTTGGTTCAGAACATTTGGACTAAAGGAAAGTTTCAGCATAAGATTATCCTCAAGAAGTAATGTATTCGGTGGAGAGGTTGATAACGTTCGTAGTTATCAATATGTTTTGCAGATTTGATACACACTAAGAACATGACTGTGTTTTCAATGAGCAGTTATTCAATAGGTTTTTAACACAAGTCATTAAAAGGACCACTATAGGCACCCAGACCACTTCAGCTCAATGAAGTGTTCTGGGTGCCAGGTCCCTCTAGTTTTAACCCTGCAGAAACTGCTATGTTTCACTAAGGTTAATCCAACCTTTAGTGGCTGTCTCACTGACAGCCGCTAGAGGCGTTTCCGCGATTTGGAGCTGACGTTGGCAGGGGCAAGAGAGGTCACCAATGAAAAGGGAGCCCGGCGCTGGAGAAAAGTGGCCCAGCAGGAGGGGGAGCCTGAGGGCCAGGAAAACAAGTTTGTTTTCCTGGCACTATAGTGCTCCTTTAACCTCTTAAGGACACATGACATTTGTGACATGTCATAATTCCCATTTATTCCAGAAGTTTGGTCCTTAAGGGGTTAAGTCAATATATAAAACCAAGAAGGAATTGGTTGTCATTTGGGAGGAAATAACTGCTTTAAAATAAAATCTCTGGATTAAAGTGTATTTACAAAAGCTGAAACCTGAATTTTAGAAGTTGAAGGACTAAGAGCAACTGAAGACATTTTTGGTCCACTGAAAGAGAAACAGGATGGGTATAAAAATTAGTTCCAATAAATACTCTCATTGGGCAAAAAGTGCTAATTGCAATCACTGTTGCCTTTCAGGTCCTTGATGGTTACCTGTCCAGCTTTAAGGACAAATACCCAAATGCAAGTGCTGCTGCTGTGTGTGTGATCAAGAGAGACATTTTTTAAAGGCTACTCCAAGCACCGAGACATTTTTTAAAGGCTACTCCAAGCACCGTGACCATTTCAGTGATTTGAAGTGGCCATGGTGCCTGGAGTCTGCGTTTTGCTGCCAGAGGTGTAACGCAACCACAGGCCATATCATTAGCCAGCCAGAAACAACCCTTCAATATGCGTTTTTCAATCCAAGGCAACATCATCATATGTCCCAGTTAATGGTTCGGTGTGAATTAATACCTTCTCAAAGTTGGCGAGTGAACGGTTCTTGCTGGCTTGTGCCACACTCTTCAGTGCTTCTGTCTGTAATGCAAAGAAAATTCATCTATATGGTTAAGAGATATCAGATGGATAATATAGTATTGGAATAGTAAAAAAAAAAAAAACTGTGTGCAAAGAAATTGCCTTGACTATTTTAATATTGTTTTTTTATTTTAATATTGTTTTGACTGGCCTATTGAACTGTTGAGCTGCAACCTGTTTCTTGTTTGTAATTTGACGTGATGTGTGTTGTGGAGTACAAAGAATATATACAGACTAAGCTGACCTCTGCAGATATTTATAGAGAACTTACTCTTTTTTTATTATTTTATCCTTTTAGCTTATTTCATTATTTCTTTTTCTTTGAAATGAGATGCAAGTGGGTGAAGCTAAGCCACAATTGCCTCTGGTTTTTTTTTTTTTTTGAGAATACAAAAACAAATAAAAAAATGCAAAAGAATGCATTAAGCATGATTCAAAGAAAACAACCCAAAATCAGATGCATTCTAGCCCTTTAATTATATATATATATATATACACATACATATATATATATATATATATATATATATATATATATATATATATATACACACATATATATATATATACACACATATATATATACACACATATACATATATATACACATATACATACACATATCATATATATACACATATACACATATACATATATATACACATATACATATATATATATATACACATATATATATATATGTAAACCTAGAGGGACACTATAGTGACCAGAACCATTATTGTAGCTTAATGTAGTGGTTCTGGTGTCTATATTCTGTCCCTGTAGCCTTTTCAATGTAAATGCTGCCTTTTCAGAGAAAACGTAGTGTTTACATTCCTGCCTAGTAACACCACTAGTGGCAGTCACCCACTAGAGGTTCTTCCTATCAGAGTCTGTACGCAGCTCCCCATACAGATGCAACTGGTTTAAGAGGAGATGCTAATTGGTACAGTGTTTTGCTGCACGTGTGCAATAGCCTTTTATTGTCTGAGATCAAGATTGATGATAGTCATGGAGGCTGGGTCAGCCACAGCAAGACTGGCGTGACAACAAAGCAAAGGTAAGTAAGCTACCTTTTACCTACAATTTGAGGGAGGCTGACCACTTGAACAGCCACTCTAGCACTAGCGTTAGTATGTTCCTTTAATGTCTCCCCCCTCCCTCTTTGTTTATCCTATATACATTTAGTAACAATAACGTCCCGTAGCGTGATGTGCAATTACAAAATGTTGTATAGAGGAGTAACAAAACATCCATATAGCTGGCTCAATAAATAACCTATGGTTGGCTCAACATAAAGCGCTGGATAGGAGGACAAGTTCTTACAAGGCACCCTAAGCACCTTAATTACAAAAGCTTTTTGTATGATGCAAAAAGTAATTGGCACTCTTCTGCCCCGGTTTGTATCAAACGGTGTGAGCACCACTATACTTTGAAACATGACCATTACAGTGACCTGTAGAGGTTACAGTGCACCTTTAATTATAAAGCATGTCAATCAAAATTATAAAGCAGTACAATCAATACAAACCTGCCGCCCAGCATAACGCAGTGCTAGCTTCCCGCTCACTAGGGTTTGCACATCTTCAGGCCTGGAAAGGACAAATAAATAGACTGCCATTATGAAGGCTGAATGGGTCAACACAAAATACTTTCTTAACAAATGGGATGTCAATTAAACTAATAACTAGAATTAGACATTTTCGTACCACAGTCTCGTTTAAAAACAAAAACAAAAATGCAGCCGCAGGACTATAAAGGTGTCACCCCTGTTATCCCAAGCAATTGCACTTGCTATTAAAATTGTATGCAAACAGCACTTTGATTCATAGAATGCCCATAGTATGGAGTCAAAGCCCAAGTATTTGACCGGAAGGGGGAGTGCAAATACTGCACCCCAACAAAATATTGATATTCAGAGTTCGGGGAATGAAATGGAGTTTGTAATCTTATAAGCTAAGAAATAGCTAAACCCATCAACCCCAAATGCGCATAGGCCCATTGGAGCATGCTCATTTTATTACTATTTTCCACTAATATTTGACCTATTATCGTTTTGTTTTGTTTTTTCGTTTCAATGGGTTAAGTCTGGATTGCTGACAGCTTGTAAAGTTTGATATAAAAAATAAAAAAATGGTCTAGTGTTCTCACAAATAGAAGTTTCAACGTGACAAAACTTCTTTCATGACTTGTACATGGAGAATGGAACAGTGGCTGCTTTTGAAGAAACATGTAAACAGTCAGCAAGGTGGCAGCAAAACATTTGCGAGGATTTCATACTTACGTATTCAACATGATCTTACACAGCAGCATGTACTTCAAGGCTGTCATAGCTCTTGGGCTGTCTATGGAATCATACCCCTCAAAGGCCTCATAGAAATAGGAGTAAGCCGTTTTCCAGTCCTTCTCCTCTGCTGCGTGGATTATGCCTGGAGAAAATATGTGTAATCACAAGTTAAACTTTGATAATAAGTCATAAATCCCAAATATGAAGATACATACATGTAATGCAGCCTATGTTTATAAGCAGAAAATGGCTTCTATCAATACAAAGACACGAGCCTCGGACACACGGTCCACTTAAAAATATCTCAAAACTTTATCTATAAATGGAATTACAATTTTTAAGCCAAGGAAAATATTATGGTTACAAGTATTGCAAATGGTGGGGCTGAACCAATATCCACAGGTCACCAAGCTCCTGTTCACAGCTCCATTTGTAGCAGTATTTTCTGTTGGACATTTATTTGCGGGAGACTTCTTTGGCTTCAAAGAAACTACCTTTCACAAAGTCCATATTTTGTTTTATTTGCACTCATATGAAGCACAAATCAAAAACAGCAGTTGGGCAATAGAGGTAATATTCTAAAAAGTGTATTCTAATGCTCATTTAAAAGTAATTCCAAAAGTTGAAAATGTTTCAATCTCCAAATAATGAACTCATGCATTTGTGTGAATGTGTGCGGTTGTATCTTTTCTATCATGCATAGGTATCAATAATAATAATATGGAATGTATGATGTCGTGATAGAAGTGCTAACCTGACTGCATGTCCAGGGCAGCTTGCAACTTTGGCGGGCAATAAATGGCATTGGCCGTGGTACGGGCAGATGTCAGTGCAGCTCGGGCTTTGGGTAAGTTGCTAAGGGCATGGTAGGTCTTGCTCTCCAGTAGCTGAACTTCCACCAAAAGAGCTTTGTCATCCATCTTTTTTAGCTCACGGAGCAGTTGTGAACCTGCAAGAGACAGAGCAGATTTGTTTAAGTTTTGATTTATGTGGATTCAAAGGGTAAAAACAACGTAATAAAATGCAGTATCATGTTGTAATAAACTTTTTTTTTGGCTAACAAAATCCCTTGTATTTACCACATCCCAGGCGTGAATTAACAGGACACTATAGTCACCAGAACAACTACAGCTTAATGTAGTTGTTCTGGTGAGTATAATCACTGCCTTCAGGCATTTTCATGCAAACACTGCCTTTTCAGAGAAAAGACAGTGTTTACATTGCCCCTGGGTACACCTCCAAGTGACTACTCCTCAGATGGCCACTGGAGGTGCTTCCTGGCTCAGTTCTGCACAGTAAGCAGCACTGCCGTTTAGAGTCTCTACGCTACGCAATGCATCTCTATAAGAAGGTGCTGATTGGCAAAATGGCATTTGGCCCTGCCCGCTTGCTGATTTTAGCTAATCCAATGCTTTCCCTATGGGAAAGCATTGCATTGGATAAAAATTAACAATTTTGGTGATGTCACCAAGGGGGCGGGGCCAGTGCCGGCAGACCCGCGCAGGGCTGGAAATAAGGTTGTTTTTATTAACTTTTAAGGAGGGATAAGGAGGGGCGCAAGCCACCTAAATGGTGGGTTAAACACTATAGGGTGAGGAATACATGTTTGTGTTCCTGACCCTATAGTGTTCCTTTAAAAAATAAATTCAAAAGTGTCACTCATTGTAAGCACTTTTTCTTTAAAAAATAATATTATTCAAATTTTTCCCCCCACTTATTTTATCATCATTCAGAAAAAATATCTAGGAAAAGAACAGTTTTAAACTTTATACAGTTTCCGTTATCTTGTAATCGGTCATTCAGGGTCTGAAATGTTAATATAAAAGAAAAATTATCTATTTTTCTCGCATACAGTAGATGTGACGAAAATAGATTAAAAAAATGTAAATAAATAATGACCCTGAGGGCATTACTAGCAGTGCAGTTTACTATAACTGGCAACAAAATGTACAATACATTTCTGCATTTGTGCAGTAAATATTTATATTTCTAAAATATAAAGGCATTTAAAACTAGTACAGCAATCTTTTTCCCTGCCTGGAATACTAATAGTGAAATCGTACAGTCCATTCACTACTTCCTCCTCCCTGACTGTCAAAATGGCATTAGCCAGTGTCCTACTTGAAAGCAGGGGAGAGCTTACATTTTAAATCAACCAGGGGTGATCCCCAGATGTTGTAGAACTACAGCATCCATGATGCTTTCTCATTTGAGTTGTAGTTCTATAATATCTGGGGATCTACCTATTGAGCACCCCTGACCTAGGCCCTGTGCTGTACAAATGGCATACAGACTCAAAACTGAACACATTATGATATTATCTATGCAGAAGGCTTGAAAGCCTGTTAGACAAGCTATTTTTTTGCTGTATCGCCAGGAGTGTAACCAATTACTAACAAAAAATAGCTCCCTGTAGTCTTTTTGCTATATATTCAGTTATAAACAATATATTGTACAGACACAATCAGCACAGTTTCAAATCTTGTAGGGGACCCAATCCACTCATTTTGGTACATCCGCCAAACAATAAGCTTTACTAACTGCTGTAAAAAAAAATTATACTCCGGAATTATATTTTTTCCTCCACATCTGGACTGTTACACCTTGCACAAACAAGGTTTGATAAAAAAAAATCAGAGCAGGAGGGAAATGATAAAGAATTCTGTGATCTAAAGTTCCTCCAGAGCTTTGAATTTAAGTTTCATTTCATTAGTAAGGAATTGAAAACACACCAATCATATAGCCTAACACTTTGTAAGCTACACCATTTTGCAGTTTACTAAATGAGTCAGCAGTGGTGACTAAGGAAGCAAATCTCTATGGAAATATTAGCTTTCAGAAGTACCACATCGACATTTAAAGGTATGAGACTGCCACCTGCAGGCAAACTCACCTAACTGCAATGCCTCCTGGTAACGTTTAGTATCAAAGTAAAGAGATACAAGCCGGGCCTGGAATAGAAAAGGAAGGGTGTAAATGTGAATAACAGAGAAACAAACAAAACAAAAAAAACAGTTGCATTTAGGTACAAAAACTGTACAATAAACCACACTATACGTCCTCCCTGCCTCATTAAGAATACAAAGTCAATTTTGTGAACTGAATTGACTAGCTCAGAGCTGGGGTGGGCTAGCTATCCACTCACAGCTGATTAATGCACTCTAGGTTAGTTGAAATTGATACTAATTAAAAGTTATGGTTAATCTGATCTATCAATGAGGCTGGAATGTGGGAGATACTTGCAACTCTAGCAGTTTTCACATGTCAAATCAATATATATTGTATGCTCCAGGTGAATAGGACCATCAACACAGAGATCTGCATATTTTGTGCACAAAAAAATCCCCAAAAAATTAGTTTGTTTGTAGCTAGCAGATTGCATGAACATATTTAGGTTTTTTTTTTATTATCCAAAATTAGAGTGTTCTTATCCACTGTGCACCCAGATCTGTGTGCTAAACACATTTTGGTTCTTTCACAAAAATAAATCTTACTTCTAAAATACCATGTGTTGGTGAAACAATGTATTTCCTCCAGCACAAGAGACATAGCCACACACAGCTCTTTGAACGCCTGAAGTTTTTTCCTAAAATGGGACTACAACACCGTGGTAAACGAAAACAATATTGCAAAATTTGGGGGGGAGGGGGGAAATCGCTGCTTTGGAAAAGTTCTCAGATATTGTTGTTATCTTGGCTGCTTTCAGTTTACCTCAAACTGCTATTTAGCAAATATACTCTAAAGTTAAAAGTTATCTTATTATAGCTGAATAAAATTAACTATAGCGGAGTTGGTTAATTTTTCCATTTCTCCAACTTTTGTCTAAAATGTGTAGATTCCTTGTCTATGTACTGCAATTTGCAGCCTATTGCAATTTGCACAGTTTTTCGGGTGTGCAAAGAATCACAGTCAGCATGGAAAGTTCTAATCAAGCACACAGCTTCTGATAAACATTTATGTAAAAAGGCATCTTGTGACAAACAGACATTCACAGATTGGAACGGATATTTAACATATACTTTACCTCTAGTGCCTGGCGAAGGAAGGTCCGCTTCTCCGCCTTGGCCCATTCAATACATTCTAAGCACAGTTCCACCTAAAAGAGAGAGCTGCATGTTTCACACAATCTGGAATGTTTTAAGTACTATCTAAAGAAAATGCAACTCTCAAAGGTATAATATGTACCATACAGAAAGAGCACTTCTAGTAACCCGCAGTTATTCTTAGGTGTTGTTAAATTATCACCCTTAATGACATGGTTTCTGGCTCTCAAACTAGGCATATATAATTCATAAACATTTGAAGTGCCAAGGTGAGCAATCATTAAACCAGTCATTGCTAGTTGCTAAAATTTCGAAATTAATTGTGAAGTTCCTATTACAAAAATATGCCAATACTGTAATGGGTTGTAAAATAAAAGTGAGTATTTTAGAATAGTTTTAACGTATTATAGAGTTAAAACTTAAAAATAAATAACTTTAGTGATGAAGCAGCAGATAGCCCCCCCCCCCAAGAGCATGAAGAGGTTCCATCAGTCAGAAGTGCCCAGTTCTGGTCTACAGGATATGTTTTTGTCCCGTAAAACACTAAAACACGTTTGCTCCCACTCTCATAACTCGAGTCATTCATTCTAGATTGTAAGAGTGACACACGTACCTATGTCGTGTTTTATTTTTTGCCCTCTAATGATCACCTTCACTAGGGGTAAAGGAGGAAAGTAGTGGGAGGTTAGCTGTTTTGTTCCTGGAATCCAATGGGATGTAGTAACAGAGGCAGCATTCCCTCACTCTTTTCCCCCAATCACTGTTCCTGTATAAACGGCATTCATATTGCCCAAAACATACAGGTGTTTTTATTAATCTTTTAGCGCTACAGCAGAGGCAAGCGACAGGGCGGCTCCTAGAGTATGTGGACAGTACCTCCAGCTGGTGCAGACCACAGTAATCGCTCCTGCTCCCACTGATGGGTCAGCGTACAGCAGTTATGACTCCTAGCACTCACGGAACACCGGTACAGTGAAAAAGCCATTATAGTGGTCTGCGCCAGCTTGAGGTGCACACCAAATGCACTCCCGCTAATTACGACCAGGTGCTTTAAAGGGACACTATAGTCACCACAACAACTACAGCTTAATGTAGTTCTGGTGAGTATAATCATTGCCTTCTGGAATTTTCATGCAAACACTTTGCATTGAAAATGCCAGAGTTTACATTGCCCCAAGGGACATCTCCAAGTGGTCACTCCTTAGATGGCCACTGGAGAGGCTTCCTAGGGCAGTGCTGCACAGGGGGGGCTGAATTTTCCTCACAGAGAAGTGCTGAGTAGCCAAAATGGCGTTTGGCTCTGCCCCCATCCCGCCTCCTTGCCGATTTTAGCCAATCCAATGCTCTCCTTATAGAAAATCATTGGATTGGCTAAAAATTGTCAATTATGAGGATGCCATTCAGGAGGCGGCGCTGGAAATAAGGTGAGTTTTAATTCCATTTAAAGGGACTGATGGGGAGCAAGCCACCTAAATGGTGGTTTTAACACTATAGGCTCAGGAATACATGTTTGTGTTCCTGACCCTATGGTGTTCCTTTAACTCCCAATGGATCACAGAGTGCCTCCACATTATATCCCTACAGCACATTACATAAAGGCGGAGTACATCACAAGGAGTATGTCACACACATTACAGACGGACAGCAAAAAAACACACAATACACACCACGCACATTACACAGAGCCAGCGCACACTAAGCGCATTACACATAGCCAGCAAATCTCACATACAACACATTGCACACAGCCAGCAAAGGTCACACATGTTGCACACAGCTGGCAAACGTCCGCCACATTGCACAGAAACAGCAGGCAAACATCTCTCACACACATAACACAAAGCCAGCGCACATTACCCACATCCAGCAAAGGCCACACACATTACATACAGCTATCAAACGTCACACAGACACACATTACCCACAGCCAGCAATCACACACTAGATTAGATTAGACACAGCCTGCGCACACCACACATATTACACACAGCCAGCAAACATCACACATACAGTACACAAAGCCAAACATCAAACAGCCTACATAATAAACAAAGCCAGCATACATCCCATACAACATACTACACATAGCCGGCAAATGTTGCACACATTCGGCAAACGTGACAAAAATTACACCCAGACGGCAAACATCACACACTACACAAAGCCGGCAAACACACCATAATGCACACAGCCGGTGCAAACATTGCACACCACACACAGCCATAACGGACCACACACACACAAACAAATTACAAGCAGACTACAGGAGGGACAGAGGGAGAGACTATGGGGTGGGAAAGAGCTCATCACTAAATTTAGAATTTTCACAAAACTGAGGAAATAACTGAGGCCAAATGTTGTGACTACTTTTCCAATTCAGTTTTGTCTCAGTTTTTCCCAGAGTTTTGTGAATAGCCATGTCAATGTTCACATTGACAAGTAGATTGTCATTACGGAGATTGTCTACTGCCTCTACTATTATATTGTGCAGAGAATGCTTGCTCCCCCCTAACACCACAAGACAGTGTAGCAAATCTTTCTCCTGTCCATCTTCACTGAACTCAGCAAGGGACAGGAATGGGTGAATGATTAAACAGGCAAGTTTGTGATAAGGGAGTGAGTCAAAATAAATCTTTTGATCTCTCAAATTTAAGTGAAAACACATTTTGGGCAAAGTCCAATTTTTGAATTTCTATAGAAAACTGGATTTGTTGAGCCGTGCCTTCAACTCTACTTGTCTCATGAGAGTGCCCTCTCTCAACTTCCCTCTTTGCATAAATATTATTTCTCCAGTTGTCCATACATGTCTATGTCGTGTTGAGCAGAATTATAGTAATCACTTAAAGACCTTATATTACTATAAAAATTAGAATTTTGGACTGGCGACTAAGAAAAAAACCCCCATAGCAACGGTTACCGTCAAATGTGGAAAAGGTAGATATGGTATTCAAAAGTTTCCCCAGTTTATGCAAATGAACCATTTAGGAGGTAACTAACTAGGTCCATATTAACCGGTTTGCATCCATGAGCAATCTGATTTCTTTTAAAATATTTGCAATGTAATATCTTTTACTCACGAGGCATCAATAACCAAGCAGTGCTTGATGCAGCATATAATGACTCTTAGAAACTTAAAGGGACACTATAGTCACCAGAACAACTACAGCTTAATGTAGTTGTTCTGGTGAGAATAATAGCCCTGCCGTTCTGCATCCCCACGTTCTGCATGGAGATGCTGAATTTTCCTCATAGAGATGCATCTCTATGAAGAGGTCTTGATTGGCCAAAACGGCACTTGGCCCCGCCCATGCCGATTTTAGCCAATCCAATTGGCTAAAAATTGGCCATTTTGATGATGTCACAAAGGAGACGGAGGCAGAGCCGGCGGACCCGCGCGGTGCTGGAAATAAGGTGAGTTTTAAACTTTTATAGGTGTGTTAAGGTTAGGGCAGGCCATCTATATGGTGGGTTTAGCACTATAGGGTCAGGAAAACATGTTTGTGTTCCTGACCCTTTAATTTGTGATGGATCCCCTAGCAATTTTGGAATTTGGAGGTGAATGCAGTAAAGTTTAGCAAGGCAAGTCTCACAAATTAAGATTTAGGAAGGGTTAGTATTAGGGTGGGTACAGCTTATTGTATTTGTTCTGGTAAATATAATCATTGCCTTGAGGCTTTTTGCAGTAAACACTGTCTTTTCAGAGAAAACAGTGTTTGCATTACAGCCCAAGGATAACTCCACTGGCTATTCCTCAAATGGCTGCTAGAGGTGCTTCCTGGGGCAGTGCTGCAGTGTGACTGGCATTCAGTGTCTCCACCCTCTGCATGGAGACAGTGAACTTTCCTCTTAGAGATACATTGATTCAATTAATCTCTATGAGGAGATGCTGACTGGCCAGGGCTGTGTTTGGCTTGAGCCCCTGATCTGCCTCCTTGACAGTCTCAGCCAATCCTATTTTTTTTTTATTACTGATATTTATAAAGCTCCAACAGATTCCACAGCACTGTACAATTAGTGGAGAACATACAATATAGACAGACAAATACAAAAGGTAGAGAGGGCCATGTCCGTAAGCTGAGATCTAGCACTTTAAGCTTATTTTATGGCAAAGCATTGTGATTGGTTCAGAGAAGCAGGCAGACCAGGGGCAGAGGAAGCAGCTGCAGACTTGAATATAAGTAAGATTTTACTATATTTAGGGAGGCAATGATGGGGGTCAGACAATGGTTTTAACACTATAATGTCAGTAATACATGTTTGTGTTTCTGACCCTATAGTGTTCATTTAATTGTGTATTTTTCAAAAGCTGAATTTTAAAGTAATGTTAAAAGAATGAGAGAGAGGGTGAGAGTTGGATTCCTTGTGGCTATAAGATTCAGAGATATAGGTTGAGGTTACCCCCTAAATGAGAGTAAAAACAAAGGAAGCCGCAGATGAAGGATAAAAAATGAAATTGTGTTGGGGAATATTTAGTGTTCCTAAATAAAGGGGTTAAGTGAAGTTAAGTGAGGACAACTGGTAACGACATTCCTCTTCTATTAGTCTGTCTCAGTTCTGTTTTATAGGTGATGTTCATGTAACATTCCAAGATTGCTTTTAATTCAGTGTATTCTACTCTATGCACAAGTCTATTTTTATGAATACAATTTCACTCACTTTACATCTGTACGAAACAGGATTAATAACATTACTATTAATTTAGAATTTCTCCTATGCACAGAAAAACTTTAGTACAGAGCTCAACAAATCCCAAGTATCAGGTCGCCATGGCGCCAAAGAATTCTGTCCTGACACCTGGGTGTTTGTCAGCCCATTCAGCGGAGGTGGCTGGGGATGAATGGAGGTCGAGAGGGAGCTGTAAACTTTGTGCTCTTCTCCCTTATGCACTGTGCTGTGGGGAGCCGAATATGAGGTCACCCCAGGACCGGCCTTACTAACCAGTGAGTGAGGGAGAAAAGAAGGACGAGCTTGCAGATTACAACAGCCAAATTGGACCACAGGGAAAGGATCCACTCCAGCTCTACCAAAGGCTGGGTGAACTTAAATTAAAAAAATAAAAGTAAAAAATAATTTGTGAGTTTATGAGAAAATGTGTGATGTCTGTCAGTGAGTGGGTCTGTTTAGGTTTCTGAACGCATGGGAAAGCCATTTTTCTCACCTTTCCTCCCCCCCCACGTTGTGCCAGTCTAGCTGTGGCAGGCCGTGCCTCCATGGCTAAGATTATCAGTCTTGATGACCTTAGCCAAGCCAATGCTTTCCCATAAGAAAGCATTGTGAGGCTACTGCACATGCACAGTAAATCACCGTGCTGCGCCAATCAGCATCTCCTCAAGGAGATGCACTGAATCAATGCATCTCTACGGGGAACTTCAGTGCCTCCAAGCAGTGTGTGGAGACACTGAACGTAGGTGCTGGACACTGTGCAGCACTGGACTAGGAATCATCTCGCGTGGCCGTCTAATGACTGTCACTAGAGGTGTTCCTAGGCAACAATGTAAACACTGTCTTTTCTCTGAACGGGGATAGGCTATAGACGCCATAACCACTACATTACGCTGTAGTGGTTCTGATGACTACAGTGTTCTTTTAAGAATTGTATTTTTATCATTGTGAATCAAGTTTTGCTAGTATACAAAAACCTGGCTGGTAACTATATATTTAAGCTGGCTCCTAGATTCCAAGAAAATTTGTCAAGCCCTGCTTTAGTAGACTAAACTTTACTAAACTAATACTTGCATGTAGTTATGGGCACAAGAAAAGGTCAAATACTTCCTAAAGTTTTTTGTTGCTTTATTACAGGTCAGGGAATTCATTTAATGTTTATCTTACTGGAACAGTACCTTTAAACCTTGCTAAAGACAAATGATGGTCTAGGACAAAATTTGTCAAAATTGTTAGAAAGAAAAACAAAACAAAACCACAGGTTTTATTGCATGTGAGTAATTTAAACAAAAAGCTGAGTTTTTAGTAAGTTAAAATACAATCTAAATAATTAGAAGAATTACTTGGCAATGTGAAGTATTCTATTGTTAGTCTTACCTCCTGGCCAGTTGCTGCTTCCATATCTAGGAACAAGTCCAAAAGGGATCGCACAAGCCTGGCTGCTTTTGCCTTGCTGATAGAATTAAGAAATGGGCGTACATATTTCAAGAGACCACCGAGTTCTGACAAAATAAATATATATATAAAAAAATTAGATTCATAACAGGAATATGAGTAACGTGACAAAGGATTGTGCAGAAGGCTGTAAGGTATACAAGTTGGGACACAAATGACATGGTCCCTTTCAAGGTCATTTGCTAAACTTAGAATTGTTGTGAACAGAACATGGATTATACATTTCCGGCTAAAAAAGAAAAGATGGAAAGAAATCTGAATTAGAAATTATAAATTTTTGTTGCTTAGTCAATACATTGTTAAACACAGAAATATTAAATTTGCAGTGATGTTACTACGGAAAGGGATTCTGGGTGGGAATATGCAAGTTATTTCAACAACCAAAAAAAAAAAAAAAAAATCACCTTTTTGCCTCATTATTCAATTTTAAACATGGATTCCATGTTTAAATGGAATAATGAGGCAAAAAGGTGATTTTTTTAACTAATTTGCATATGTCCACCCAGAATCCCTTGCAGTAGTAACTTCACTGCAAATTTAAGGTTTCTGTGGGAAAAGCAAGCCTTATTGCTAGACTGATGTGTGCAGATCTGTGTTTAACAATGTACTGACTATCCACTAACTTCTGGTGGAAGGGGATTTCAATCATTTTTTCTTCACCATAACTTTCTTGGTCTGTGGTCCATTTTTGCTTAGAACTTTTAATTTTCTTGTCACTTTATTACAATTTCAAGTATAGTGAATAATTATTACCAAGTTCAGAGTAAGTCTAAGCAACAAAACCTCTTAATCTTAATGCTTCTTAAGCAGTCGTGGTGCATAGCGCTGCCCCATGCAGTCTCACTGCTCAACTGTCTGATATTTAGGTTTAAGCTACTTTATTAATGAAGCCCTAGTCACATCTCCTGGCTATCAATTCTAGTCTCAATACACACTCACTCATAAAAGTGGTTTATCTTGAATCTGCAGAGTGTGTTTACTTTAGAAGTTCTTATACCCTGCTGTTAATCGCTTGCTTGTATAAAGCAATCCCCTATATAAGGTACATATAAATAAAGAAAGAAAATAAAAACGTCACAGGAAGGAACAAGAATCCTTTAGACTTGTCTGCACTACAAGAGAAGCACATTTTGGGAGCTGTGGCAGAACAATGTGAGCATTCCATTTTACTCATAATCTGTAATATTTCTCAGCAGGAACTGAAAAATAAATGTTGATCAAAAAAGTGGCAGGTTTGCTTAAATAACTTATTGCAGCAGTACTACTTTAGAGACAAAAAAAAAAAGCAATTGTTTTTCCATTTTAACTTCCTTGTTCATGTGCATAAAAAATTGCAATTTTAGACTAGATTTTCCCTTTAATCCATTTGCCTGCAGAAGTTTAGCACAGAGAGAAAAATAGGGATTTTCTATCTCTGTCATAGACATGAGTTAGTTTTTACACTTCAAACACATCTGAATTATTTATAAATCCATTAATATCATTTATAGTCTAATCAGGTCATCCTCACATAGCTTTCATGTGTTACCAGCTCCCCCTATGGTAATGTTACTTTAGTACATAATAAAGAAGCATATAAAAAGTAGCATTACACATCACGGGTAAACTGTAGCTAAACATGAACAGCTGCACTGCCTCTAACAACACTTGCATGCTAGAAATCGTGCTAAGTCATTTGCTTCATATCGAGGTAGCGTGTCTGGGTATGCAGCTGCCGTGTCCATTCCCAGCAACCACTTTGCAGGAAAATGACAGAAGCTTTAGAAAAACTCAAATAGACTATGTTGGACTGTCGCTGAAATTTGAATACAACACAATGAGAAACATGAATAGAATCTTGGCAATTAGTGGAACATCAACTACAAGATCCTGCCATTTCCCATCAGTCATTGCTCACCATCACTGATGGGAACAGGCATCTTACTACACATGTACAATATTATCTAAGAAGGATCCTCTGCCATCTTCCGTAAACCCCATATTTCCGTTTTTGTGCAGGCAAGTGAAAACATCAGTATCATGGGCTCTTAACAATTAAAGGAGTGTATCATGTCAAAACCGAGGACGGTGAGCATTAGGTAAATATATGTAAAGGGATCCTATAGGCACCAAAACAACTTTAGCCTCTGAAACCGTTTTGATGTAAAGACCATGCCCCTGCAGGGTCACTACTCTATTCTCTGTCATTTAGGAGTTAAATCACTTTGTTTATGTTGCCCTAGTCACACCTCTTGCATAGTTTTCCTAAACACTTTCTGTAAAGAGTCATTTAATGTTTACACTATCTTTATAGCAAATTCTGTTTAATTTATAATTTCTCATCTCTTTACAGACCCTGCAAGAGCATCCTGTATGTAATTAAAGAACCACTATAGTGCCAGGAAAACAATCTTATTTTCCTGGCACTATCGTGTTAATAGGTCCCCCCCCCACCCTCATGACCCCCCTTCCGCCGGGCTCTAGAGGGAGGAAGGGGTTAAAGGCTTACCTTTCTCCAGCGCTGGGCACCCTCCTCCCTCTTCACGCGAATGCGCATGCACGCGCGCAGTCAGTCAGTCCATAGGAAAGCTTTCTCAATGCTTTCCTATGGACGCTGGCGTCTTCTCACTTCTCACAGTGAGAAGCTTGGAAGCGCCTGTAAATGAGACAGCGACTAGAGGCTGGATTAACCCTAATGTAAACATAGCAGTTTCTCTGAAACTGCTATGTTTACAGCAGGCAGGGTTAACCCTAGATGGACCTGGCACCCAGACCACTTCATTGAGCTGAAGTGGTCTGGGTGCCTATAGTGGTCCTTTAAAGTTCAAGAGAGCAAGAGATAGAAAATTTTAAAAAAGTGTTAAAATTCAACTTTTTCTTTTTTCATGGAGACTGTGAGAGACACAGTCAGGGGAGGTGTGGCTAAGGCTGCATAAACAGAAAAGTGATTTTACTTCTAAATGCAGGGGCATGATCTAAACACCAAAACTGCTTCATAAAGCTAAACTTGTTTTGGTGACTATAGTGTTCCTTTAATTTACTACTGTCAAGCAGACCATCGCCTAGAAGACAGGCATCTTACAGTGGGGGTTGCTTTGCCATTTGGTGCACTGTGTCAGCAATTTAGTTCATGCAAATTTCTATGTAGCACCTAACCGATCACAACCAGGGTAATTCACTAAAATGTGCATTTCAATTAATTTCGAACTAAAAGGCAAAGTGAATTTCAAATTCAAGGCCAAACTATCTGAAATGAAAGCTTAACGGATTTGAAGATTTTGTTCCGGTTTGTCAATTTTGGCCTGGGATATGAAATTAATTTTGAATTCCTGAAAATTCACATTTTAGTGAATAACCCTTCATATCATATTTGAAGTCCTTACGTACACACAGAAATAATCTGAGGGTCAATATCAAAATGTTTAACAATCACCATGGAAACAAACATGATAATCCTTTAAACTGCTCCTCCTTTAGCACTTTGCTCCACAATTGTGCTTTGCACACATGGCCTCAAAGAATCTTCAGATCACTCACCTGCAGCCTGTCCAGTCTTGGCAAGAAGCCCTCCCAACTCCAAAATGCTTTGCTCCTTAACACGCAAGGCTTCTTCATCGCTTTCCTGGATGTCTCGCTTCACTGGAAGGTAAAACAAACGTAGCGTTAAAGATGCTGCTTCTAAACAAACACCTATAACTGCTTTGCGCTCAAACTTGTTGCGGGATGAAGACATTTTTATCAAAACAACTGGGTAAACTCTGAGATGTTTAAAGAAAGATCATACCATGCAACAAGTTCACGTACAGCTTAATGGCTACAAGTTAGAAACGGATTTACAGAAAACACAGAACATTATAAAATATCCCATTAATGAACAACATAAATTCACATCTAATAAAAATATCCACACAAATATTTTGCTTTATAGTCCTGATTGTGTGAAAACATACATACATATACACACATATATACATACACATATTTCCTCATAGTCCTTCTGATTGTGAATATATATATATATAAATAAATAAAACAAAATGATAGCTTGGCACTCTCCGTACCAGTACTTGGTACCCAACTGCCTGAGTTTCAATCCTCTTGCGTCCAAAATTATATGTATCAGAAATCCAGGATGCCCACTCAGGGCTTTTTAAAATCGTATAATGTGTCAATCTTGAAAAAGACCCTACAGGGTCGAAACGTAGATTTTCTTTTGCTGTATGTTCACTTAATTTCAATAAATCACCTTATACTATTTTGAAAGCCCTGAGTGTGCATCCTGGATTTCTGATACACACACACACATATATATATACACACACACACACACACACACACACACATACATACACACATATTTGCCAATAGTCCTTCTGATTGTGAATATATACATACACACACACAAATACATATATATATATATACACACCCACATTTGTTTATAGTCCTTCTGATTATGTGTGTGTGGATATATATATATATATATATATATATATATCACTGCTCAATTGTCTGATATTTAGGTTTAAGCTACTTTATTTGTGAAGCCCTAGTCACATCTCCTGGCTACCAATTCTAGTCTCAATACACACTCACTGCACTGATAAAAGTGGTTTATCTTGAATCTGCAGAGTGTGTTTACTTTAGAAGAAGTTCTTATATAAATATATATCCACACACATTTGCTAATAGTCCTTCTGATTGTGAATATATATATATATATATATATATATATATATACACACACACATACATTTGTTTATAGTCCTGATTGTGTGTGGATATATATATATATATATATCAACACACACATATTTGCTAATAGTCCTTCTGATTGCGAGTGTGTGTGTGTGTGTGTATATATATATATATATATATATATATATATATATATATATATATATATATATATATATATACACACACACACACACACACGTATAGTGGCACTCACCCTTTCAATGAATCAATAAAAGACTGCCTTAGTGCAATCCCACGCTGGATATGTAAAGCAAAAAGGAAAGAGATGCACTCTCAGGTCTTTGTAGAAAAAAACTCGATATTATTTAATAACAGGTAACATATATCTGATCAGATATATGTTACCTGTTATTAAATAATATCGAGTTTTTTTTCTACAAAGACCTGAGGGTGCATCTCTTTCCTTTTTGCTTTATATATATATATATATATATATATATATATATATATATATATCCACACATTTGCTAATAGTCCTTCTGACTGTGTGTGGATAGATATCTATATATCCACACACCACATTGCAGTACACATGCCCCTCTTTGTATGGCACAATTACTGAGCAAATCGTGTGAGGATTAGTTTCTTTGCCCCCCTCCTGCCCCCTCTCTCCCAGCCTGGCCCCCCCCCTTCCCAGACAGCACATTTTCATTGTTTGAGTCTCTAGGCTGCTGCCACCCCCCCAGCTTTCTCCCCCACCCGAGACAGAGCAGCCTCATGCAGGCTCCCTTCACCTATAGACTGCAGGATATCTATGCTCGCCGCCTTGTCCGTCACCACCATTTCTTGCGCTCTCTGGAACTCGATCACAGCAGCGGTCGCCATCTTTCCCTATCCCTGCACCCTGACACAGCTCTTCCGGACCGGAAGGAACCGCGACGGAAGTCGCTATCACTCTCAAGGAAAAGACTTCCGGGTGATGCCGCAAGGGGCTCCGGGAAATGTAGTCCTAAGAGACAACAAAGCCACAGAAAGCAGTGCTGGAGTAGCTGAGCTATTGGCCAAGTCATTTGTACCATAAACAAACCAGGCTTTATTCTGTATTTAACTAAAAGTGAGAATTATCACTGAATTTAGGGTGAATTTCACATTTATGCCAAAAATTGCCAAAAATTGCCAAAACTGGGGGGGGGGCAAGATAATATGCTTCCTCTTTGTCTTCTTTTGTATTATATTTGAATTCTCATGAAAGCCCATAATGTCAGAGCCAACTGTACACGTTTTGATCAAAACAAAACCTGGAATTTGCGCTTTATGTCTGTTGAACCATAATTTACATTGTTCATATTAAAGGATCACTATGGTGTCAAGAAAACAAACTTGTTTTCCTGGCACTATATAGTCCTTAGGTCCCCCACCCTCAGGGCCCTCCTCCCGCTGGGCTGAAGGGGTGAAAACCCCTTCAGCCACTCATCTTTATCCAGCGCTGGGCTCCCTCGGCGCTTGTGACCCCTCCTCCCCCTCAGACGTCAGCTCCCGAGTGGAGCAGCCCGGAAAAGCGCAAGCACCAGCTTCGAGTCATCGAGATGCAACAAACGGTGTCTTCTCCTGGAGGAAGCCCAAATCCTCAGCCAGAAATCCAGAGGTTACCCTTTACAGCATTTAAAGCTTTCTAGGAATCAGAAGGGGAAATCGACGGGAACCTGGCCGACTTCGAACGTCAGTGTGCCCTACACAAGGTGGCTGAGACCAAATGGGTCCCAGTGCTGGCTGGCAATCTATCCGGCAAAGCTGCGGAAGCCATCTGGGCAATCCCCGACGCCGAGCTGAATAACTATAAGAGAGTGAAAGAAGCCCTACTTGCTTGGTATGCAGTTACACTGGAGGCATACCGTCGGAAATTCCGCGATTACGCAAGACTGATAAAGATTTGTATACCGAATGGGCCTGACACATGCACTGCGCTGCTTCTCACTTGATTAATGGGTGCCAGGCTACTTCTCTGGAGGATTTGCTGCAGCTGATACTCCTGGAACAATTTTTTAGTTTGGTTCATCCTGAAATCAGAGACTGGGTAAGAGACCAGCGGCCCCTTTCCCTACCTGAAGCAGCTCGGCTAGCCGATGAATACACGGATGCCTGTAATCTAAACTGACCCCCCCTCAACCCCAACCACCCCGAAAAGAGCACCCTCAACCTTCTCCAGTGGGAGCTCCTTGTCCAACACCCCGGGCTGTTCCAGAGCCATATGTTCCACAACCAAAGACTGGACCCTGATGCTACCGCTGCAAACAAGTGGGACATGTACGCAGCAAGGGCAAGGGTATACTTCATGAAGCGGATCACATCCAAGCAGCGACCACTGATAATCGTCAGCATCACAGACAATTTGTCCTGGTAAATGGCCGGACCACCCGAGGACTGAGATACACTGGGGTCATGCTCACACTGGTCCAATGACATTTGATTGGTGACTCTGAAAGACCAGGGAAGTCGGTTGCCGTTCGATAGGCCGGCAGTGCTATCTACCCCATTCCCACTGCCACACCCATACTGGAGTGCAGGAGCCAGCACTGTAAATGTGGGAGTGATGAGTGTGGGGATATTTATGGGATAATAATAGTAACAGTTGAGAATTGCCCACTATTTCAATTCTCAGATCCCAAAGAACGTTTATCGTGTTAAGTGGAATGTATTTCATATAATTAATATCACAATGTATAAAAATAGATTTTATTTATGATAACCAATAATTAACAAATAATATTATGTAACATGCATAACAATAATCAATGAATATCCAGTACAAAATTATATGCAATACAAAGAAATGGGTATTACGTTTCAATGGCTAAACAGCATTTCCTGTCAAGAATTATTTATGACTATCTTTAACACAGGCTGAAAGTGAAACTTTTCACAGCGAAGAACAGAATTCCTCAGAGTGCAGCGTAAGGTCGTAAAGTTTAGCCGACAGTTAGAATAACCCTTTCAATGCTGGCTAGATCTCCTAGGTAGTTAAGATCTATTCTTATGTATTTTTAAATAAAATAACATTTAACCCAGTTCATTAGTCATTTTCTTAAAATCATCCAATAAGAGAATTTACCACATTATATAAGCAGATTTTTAATTTGTCTAAAAGATATCTATCTTAATTTAGAGCAAATCAATACACCTGGATAAAAACAGCGGTATGCTAACATGTGATAATATCACATCAATATATAATTATTCTTAATTCCACCTGCAGAATGGAATGGTTATAACTATATATTCTTAGTTAACTAAGATTTCTTAATATGGAAATCTGACCGTGCTTTATCCAGTCATATATAATGCTATTAATACATTTTAATTAATTTAATTTAATTAAATGAAACCAGTATAATTACCAGTTGAGTAGATATTTCATCCGATTGGTAGTCTCTCTGCATGGAGGTGTTGGTTAGAAAGTCAGTAAATTCTAAGTGTTAGAGTTTTAGGAGTAGAGTGTTAGTCTCAGATGTTGTCCGAGTTGGAATCCCCAAACTTCCAATTCCTCTCTCCTCTCCTTTGCATATCTTGCATCTGCCTCCTCTCTCGTATATGCTATCTTCCCTTTGTCTTAACTTTTAAAGGGCCAGACTCTCTGTACGTCATCGGTTGATAACCCAATTGAAGCACTAGAGGTGTGGTTATCTTCCAGATCGCAAATTAGTTATTTGGTCTGTAGAGGGCAGTCTTGTCCCACTAAACATACCTATCCAGGAAAGAGTTAACTTTTCCTGGTGGCTATTTTGATGTCATTTTGGCCTATCTAGATAGTGGCTATAACTTACGTATCCTTCAAAGATCAAAGGGGTTCTTAAATTTTGTCCAGACTATGTGTCTGCAAATCTGAGTTTTTTTCTGATATGGCAGATCATGAACTAAGTTTACCCTTTTCCATACAATGGTACCTTATATATATATAGACAGTTAAATTTTATTATTTAATCTTCTCTGTCACAATTGTCTGGGTTTAGATTTGATTATATTCCATTAGCATTAGACAATCTGTCCAACCCCCTTCCTTATCACTTGGCTTGTATATACTATGCATTCCTCAGCTCTGGGAAAGTGGTTAGCTTACAGATAGAAATACTGTGTCTCTGTTAACTTGAAATAACAAAATGGAGTCTGGTCTGTTCAGAGTGACTCAGAATATACACTTTTAGTTTCTATCATAGCACAAAATGTCTGCCGATATAAATACCCTGACATGAGAGAGTTGCCCACAGAGGTCTTCCTGGGGAATGATTTAGGACCTCTAACCTCCGCATTTGAGTCACCCAACACTGCAGAAGCACATGCTGTGACTACCCGAGCCAATGAAGCCAACTCACATCCCGCCGAGGCACAGGTAAGATCACCTACCCCGACCTTCACAGTAGCAGTAGAACCCCTAATTTGGGAGAGCCCCGCAGATTTTGGGAGGGAAGTAGTAGAAGACCTATCACTCCAGAAATATAGGGACCATGCTACGACCGATCAGGGAGGGTTAAGTGGAGAACAGTTCTTGCGAGACCAGGTGACCAAGTCCAGGATGAGAGGAGCGGGGCCCATTCAGAAGTGCTAGCTGGTAGTCTCATGGAAATACTGGTTGGAGCTTCTGTAAGTAGGGCACGATGTCCCGCTAGCAGGGCACCTGGGCATATGCCGGACATCTCACCAGGTAACTCAGAACTTTTTCTGGCCTTGGATAGTCAGAGATGTCTGAAAGTACTGCTAGACCTGTGATGTTGGCAAGAGCGGAGACCACCTGAAGGCAAGATTAGTATAGATGTTCAGCAGAGTAGCCGTCTACATTGTAAGAACGCTAGTCCAGCCTAGTTGCTCCAGTAAGAAGTATATCCTTCCCGTAGTAGACTACACTACTCAATACCCTGAAGCGGTGGTGCTAACAAATATCCAGGCAGAGACAGTAGCTGATGCCCTGGAACGAATATGCTCCTGAGTGGTAGAATATGCTCCTGAGATCCTTTCAGACCAGGGTACCCAGTTTACCGCCCATGTTACCCACCAACTTTGGAATGTCTGTGGTATAAAATCCATAATGAGTTCCCCATATCAACCCCCAGATGAACTGTCTCTGAGAGTGGTTTAACGGGACCCTGAAACAGATGCTTAGAAGCTTTACAGCTGCCTGCAGAGACTGGGAACAATTCCTGCCTTACCTCCTGTTTGCTTATCGGGAGATACCGCAGGAATCTACTGGGTTCTCCCCATTCAAGCTACTATATGGTAGGCGGATGAGGGGACCTTTAGACCTCATCCGCGGAACACTGGGAGGGGGAAACTGAGATAGCAGGGACCCCGATCATACCCTACGTACTAGAGCTGGAGGAGTGCATGGAGTCACTGGCTCAGACGGCACGTGAAAACCTCCAGGCGGCCAGTCAGGGATGTATTTACCACAAGGCAGACAAGGCAAAAAAATGCCACCCCAGGCTCCCAGACAAATGACTTGTTTGCCTCGTGTTCTGGGGCTGTCCACTTTACTGTGAGTGAGTGTAGCTGTCAGTGTGTGTCTGAGAGTGAGAATGGGTGTGCTTGTGAGTGTGTGTCAGTGTGTGTATGTCATTTTGTGTGTATCTGAGAGTGTGTGCCTGTCAGTGAGTGGGTGTGTCAGTGTGTGTCTGTCAGTGAAAGTGTGTGCCAATGGCTGTATATGTGTGCCAATGACTATGTATCTGTCAGTGAGTGCATGTATCAATGAGGGCATGTGTCTGTCAGTCCAAAAAATGGCCTTGACACAAACTGGGGGGGGGCAAATTTAGATTTTGGGTGTGCCCGAATTTAGTCGTGCCTAGGGCAGCACAAATCCAAAATACACCACTGGTGCCAGTGGGTATGGTACGACCAGGGGGCCAGGCATCACAGCTTCCAGGTTGGACAGATAGCTATGGACCTGAAACCGGTCCGGCATGACAA